AATTAGATAAAAGTTATAAGTATAAGCATGATTATGAATACCAATAGAAGGGAATATTAGGACAGGGATGGTAGGCACACTGTTGTGTTTATGCATGCCTCTTAAAGACTTCTTAGGAATGGGGTGAAGGTGACAGTAGACAGTCTAAGTTAAAGATTTGGGGGTTTGGGGAAGACACCACAGTGTCAGGTAGTGCATTTCACGCATTGACAACTCTGTTACTGAAGTCATATTTTCTGCTATCAAATTTGGAACCGTTTACCATAAGTTTGTATCTATTGTGTGCTTGCGTGTTGTTGTGGTTGAAGCTGAAGTAGTCGTTGACAGGTAGGACATTGTAGCAGATAATTTTATGCACTATGCTTAGGTCGGATCGAAGACGGTGAAGTTCTAAGTTGTCTAAGCCCAAAATTTCAAGTCTGGTGGCATAAGGTATTCTGTTGCGAGCAGAGGAGTGGAGGATTCTTCTCTTGAAATATCTCTCGGCTCGTTCGATTGTATTTATGTCTGATATGCAGTGTGGGTTCTAGATAGATGAGCTGTATTCAAGAATTGGTCTAGCAAAATTTTGTATGGCCTAGTTTGCAGTTCAATATTACCGGAGAAGAAGCTACACAACATTAGGTTAACAACTCTTAATGCCTTTTTGGCAATTCTGTTACAATGAGCTCTGGCACTTAGATCATTTGAAATGAGTACTCCAAGGTCCTTGACAGTGTGAAGGTCATCTAGGAGGTCATATCCGCTCAGCTTGTATTTTGTGTTCTGATTTTTTCTGCCAATGTGTAAGACAGAGCATTTGTTGGTTGAGATTTGGAGTTGCCAATTTTTTGACCATTCTGACACATAGTCAAGATTGTTGTTGGTGTTGAATAGTTTTACATCATCAGCAAAAAGAATGTAGTTGCTTATAATATGATCACAAAGGTCACTTATGTAAAGTATAAAGAGCATGGGTCCTAAAACGCTACCTTGGGGGACACTGTTGTTAACAGGTATAGGGTTTGATAGGACATTCCCTATTTTGACTATTTGTTGCTTGTTTGATAGGAACGCATCTATCCACTTATGCAGGGAACTGGAGATGACATAAGATTTTAGTTTTAGAAGTAGTTTGTCATGTACTATTCAATCAAAGGCTTTACAGAAGTCTATGTAAATTGTGTCTATTGCTTTACCCTGGTTGAGTTGTGAGGTCCATATGTTTTTGCATTGTGAGAGTTGTAGATTGCAGGACAGATTTTTTTCTGAAGCCAAACTACTTGTCTCTAAGTAGAGGGTAATGGATTGGTTTATGATTGATTCCATGACTTTGCAGGTGATGCAACATAATGAGATTGGTCTGTAATTTTCAACTAGGCAGGGGTCATCCTTTTTGAAGATAGGAATGACCGTGGCTAGTGACCATAAGTTAGGCAAGGAGCTGGTTTTGAAGGATATTTCATAGATTATACTATGAGGTTCTGCTATGGTGGTTGAGAGCCCTAATCAGGCCTTTTGTTGTCTTATGATGTTTGGTAAAAGGTGAATGTAAATTTACATTAATTTATAGGCTGAATATACATTTAAATTCAAGTACATGCTGAGTATGGAGTGAGATTCAGAACTTTTGCACTTCAAAAAAATGCTTGTTCAGCCATTACATTCTATTTTTTTAACAGATTTTTTCCCCTTCAGTCATACAGTCATTCTGTCAACATTGTTATGTCATCATACCTGTATGTGTGTATATATATATGTTATATTTATGCTGATAAATAAATAAAGGGAGACTAGTATAGATCTATTT